CTCTCTCTTTGACCCTCTCTCTTTGTCTCTCTCTCTCTTTGTCTCTCTCTCTCTCTCTCTTTGTCTCCCTCTCTCTTTGACTCTCTCTCTCTTTGTCTCTCCCTCCTCTCTTTGTCTCTCTCTCTCTCTCTCTCTTTGTCTCTCTCTCTTTGTCTCTGCCTCTCTTTGTCTCCCTTTGCCTCTCTCCTTTTGCCTCTCTCTCTTTGCCTCTCTCTTTGCCCCCCTCTCTCTCTTTGCCCCCCCTCTCTCTCTCTCTTTGCCCCCCCTCTCTCTATCTCTCGCTTTGCCCCCCCCCTCGCACTCTCTTTGACCCTCTCTCTCTCTTTTGTTTCTCTCTCTTTGTCTCTCTCTCTCTCTCTTTGCCTCTCTCTCTAGTATATTTTACTAAATACAATTGTGCTATTCATCGCTAATAAGGAATGCCTCCTTCTCTTCCTAGTAATGTCCTACGTTCAGGTTCTTCTAGGACTTGGCAGGAAGTTCTGAAAGACATGGCTGGAACAGACAAAATGGACGTTGGGCCACTGTTGGAATATTTTGAGCCAGTGACTAACTGGTTGAAAGAGCAGAACGCTAAAACAAATGAAACTCTTGGTTGGACAGATTTTTCCTGGAGACCACCTTTGCCTGATGGATATCCTGGAGACATTGGTGAGCCCCAATAGTCACTCCATTTCTATTATCTGCACTGTAACATGAACCGCTGTACTGTGTAAATTAACTTACATGGTAGCTCAAAAGTGTGGCCCTATGCATCATAACCAATCACCAATGTGTGCACACACAAATTATCTCATTTAAAAAAAAAAGAAATTTGCAGTAAGCGAAATTCAAAATGGAACGCCAAACAAAAACAGAGAGTATGTGGAGTTTTTGAGCTACCAAAGGATTATTTTTTAATTTTATTTTTTTAGCATAAACCGTGAGCTCTCCATTATTTTCGGGTTCAGCTATCTAGCCTCCTGTGACACCTGCATGGCGATTTTTAGATCAGCGTCTCTCAATCCTAAGATCCTTACCTTGATAGCGGTTTCCAGTATAGATTTTGAGATGACACAGTCAAAACAAAGGAAAAAATGTAGAGTACCCCCTTTCACATCAGCAACCCCGTTTTCCATCACAGTTTCCCTCCCCCCCATCAGATTCCTCCTTTCACATCAGAAAGTCCCCTGCACATCAAAGCCCTGCTTTGTAATCATCACCCCAGTGCGACTGTGGCAGCATGGCAGGTCTGGAAAGAGGAAGAATTCTGTCTTCTGAATGCTGGGGGAGGCGTTGCCTTGTTGTCTAATGATCAGGCAGGTAAAACAGGAAGGAGTGTGGTGTCCCCTGGCCCTAGTGAGTAGGGGCATAACTCTTTGGGCCTTTGCACAGTCTAAAAAGGTCATATAATATTGATTACTGATATTTTAACCCTTAGGTGTTGGGTTCTTATTTTTGGGATGATAATTTTTGTTCCTGGGGAAATTTCCCCTCTGTTTTGTGCACAGTGGATTTTCCCCATTCTCATTACAACAGCCTCTATGCACAGATACTGTTAGATGGGATAGAAAAGAGAATGGAATTGGCTTAACTAAAGTGTGTTTATGGCCAGAAAACAAACAAACCTACTTCTCTATAATACATCCACATTTCCTAACAATAACGTGCAGCAAGTAAAGAAAAATAACTATTGATATTGATTTAAAATGTGTCAGATCTAAGCTCCCAATTTCCTGAAGTGTGCTGACCACATAGTGCCTGTTCTGCTTGACTACAGAACACCTCCCCCCATATGTTATGGAGATGAAAGGGGGAAGTGTTCTCTAATAAAGCAAAGGAAACTGGATGGGTCTTACCAGCATTGTTTTGAATTCAGGGCTGATGCTGTAAAGTCAAAGCCTTGCTTTAATATTGTGAGGGGAAATTGACAACATAACTACAGTTATTTTTATTTTTTAATTTCTAGATAAAAATGCTAATGAGAGGCAGGCACAAGATTTCTTAGGCGAGTACAACACTACAGCAGAGCAGGTGTGGAATGATTATACTGAGGCGTCATGGGCTTATAACACCAACATCACAGAACACAACAACCAAGTCATGGTAAGAAAAAGAGACAGGACCTTTTTTGTTGCTTTTATGTCAAAACTGGCCATAAACCTGACCGTATAGTCACTTCATATGATGAATTAGCCTCGTGTATGCTGGTAACAGACACCGTTTCATGTGACAAAAAGGGAAAGTTGGTCTGGGCAAGTGAAAATGTTGCCTTTTAAGCTGGCCATACAGTACAGATTAGTAGGAGTAGGAATAGGTTTTTAATGTGAATTTGAAGAAATGGGGGAGATAACACATAAAGACATAGTGTGTGCATAGTGTATGGACCTGGTTATGGTCCAAGGCCACTGCCTCTCTGGTCGCGATGTATGTGCTGTTGGGACGCCTCTTTAAAAAAAATGGCAATCTCACTTGAAGGTTTGTCCAGGTTGTTTATTTAAATGGATATCTCAGATACAGCAAAAACGTTTTAGTAAAATCAACCTCCACCTTTTTCAGGGCTTGAGCAACAATAATAAGTAGCTGATTCAGGAAAAGCAGTACGTACTTTGAAGCCTGAATTGGGGATGGAGGAGCACTTAGTGTCAGCATAACCTGTTTGCAACGAGGACCGATCCTGTCCTCACTGCAAACATGATGAACCCTAAAGCGAGATTTTTATTTTTTTCAAGAGGCGCTCCTAACCACACATCCATAGTTTTTTAGTGACTCTCAGTATTGAAGTGAGTGACCACCAGACGAAGAGCATTTCTGCTCTAAAATATAAAGGAACTACATTGAAAGAAAAATGTGCTTCTTATAGGATTTAATATCTTCATTTTATTACCCTTAAAAGGATTCCCTCTGCTGCCATCTTGTAATATGTTTATATTGCTAGAAAATACTTTGAGCCAGGTATGTCATAAATCAGCACAATTAACACAAATGCTGCTTCTTTTAAATGCCTTAAGAAGAATTTACACAGCCACCGAAGTAAAAACTCAGATTGTTTGTTGCACTTTGAAGTAATCTCCTGCAGTGTGGGAATTTAATATGCTGACATGAAGTAACCTATATAGCTGAGGAACATCCTATACAGTCAGATGGAAAAGGACAGTCGGCCCAGAGTGGATAAGACTCAGGCAGTATTTGTTCACATCCTAAGGGTAATAATAAGTATTTTGCTAGTGTGCAATTAAAGTTTATGCTGTCACAACGTCCTATAATATATACAGTATGCTACATTATGGGTGTTTAGCAGCACCTTTTTATTTGAAATCAGCTTGGACAACTGGGAAATCCTCATTGTGCCCTACCTCTGGTCGTAACTTCTCAGTGGACAGGGTAATGGGGGGCCCCATGTTCTAGCTGTGTGTGTGGTGGTTTTGTTTTTTGTTTTTTTCTAGGTCTAAAAGGTTTTGCAAATGTATCCCAAACAACATAAGTTATAGTTGGGTAGTAAGCAGGTCTGTGAAGCAAGCAATTTAGATTGTCATTGTGTAATATTTCTAATCATTCATTACAGCTGGACAAAAACCTAGCAATGTCCAGTCACACTCTACAGTATGGAAGACAGGCCAGAAACTTTGACTACAGTGATTTCCAGAGTCCAGAGGTAAAGCGACTATTGAAGAAGCTCAGTGATATTGATAAAGCAGCTCTGTCAGAAGCCGAGCAGAAAGAGGTAATTGTACATGTGAAGAAACAATATGACCTTACCATTCTTGCCTACCAGTGTGATAACTGGACAGAGCAGGAAATACAAAATATTATGTAGCTATATAGTTGGCCAAGGTTGCCTATTGCTCTTAAAATTACAAATATATCCTTTTTGTTTTTTCTTTTTTTTTTCTCCAGTACAATCAAATTGTTTCTGAAATGGAAACCATCTACAGCAAGGCAACAGTATGCAAAGATGGCAAATGCATGCCTCTGGATCCAGGTAGGACTATGATGTATTTCTGGATAAAACACTCCTTAGAAGAAATCATTATTCACAGTACAGATCAGTGATATAAATCAATTATGTAAATGAGCATAGATGGATGCAGCTTTCCATTTTTCTAAACAGAAATCTGTAACATCTTGCACTCTTCAAATGAGGTAATAGGCAGACCTGATAGTGTCACTGTAATGTTGGGTATTCAGGAACACATTTGACTTTTATAGACAGGCTTGTATCAAGCTATCCTGAAGAACAGGAACCATAGAATGATGATACTCAGTTCAGCGTGATCATTACCCTCCTTTTCCCCATTAGCTGACGTATGTGTCACTCCTTTTACCCCATTGGCTGATTTCTGTCAGTTATTTTTCCCCATTGCCACTGTTATATAATTGCAGACAGCAGAGTTGAGAAACAAGCTCAGCCAGGTTTGGAAAGCGATAGTCTAAATATTTTTAGTACAGCCCTTATATTGTTCAAAACAGGCAAATTGTCTGTTTTTCTAGCTAGAACCTGCCATACAGAACCTGTGACATGCCTTTCTATATTACTAGGAAGGAAGTAGTTTTCCTAGTGTCACTGCTTTATTTCTCATTTAATTGTGACTGGACTGTGCGTGGCCTGTTAACTAAATGCAGCCCTTGCTTTTGTTCCAAGATCTGACTGCACTTCTTGCCAAGTCGCGTGACTATGATGAACTGCTGTGGGCATGGAAAGGTTGGCGAGATTCTTCTGGCAAAAAAATGCGCAACCTCTACAAGAGATATGTAGAGCTGGGTAACAAGGCAGCAGTACTTAATGGTAAGAGAGATCCCATATCTGACTTACTCTGTTTCTCTGTCAAACTGTTTTAATCCTCTACACATTGTCCTTTTGTTCTCTCTCCACGTCTCAGCACAGAGATTTGTAGAGACATATTCACAAACTTTAACTTTGTAGCATATACCAGAGATAATTTACTGCCTATTTGCATGCATACATCCTTATTTACTTACCCAGATCATGCAGATAATGGTGCATACTGGAGGTCATGGTATGAGACACCAACTTTGGAAAGTGATGTTGAGAGGCTTTATCATGAGCTGCAGCCTCTTTATCTCAACCTGCACGCTTATGTACGCCGGGCCCTCTACAAGAAATATGGAGACAAGAAAATCAACCTTAAAGGACCCCTTCCTGCCCATCTGCTTGGTGAGATCTCTGTTGATTTTTAATCAGTTTGAGAACATTGATATACTAGTACAAAAACAATTTAATTTTGGTATCTGACTAGCATTTACTACACTAATAAACACTCTAGCAGCAGGTTAAGGTGCCAGTGTTGCAATCTGCCAGTATATTTGTGGGAGGAAGGCACCTGAAGGAAACATGCAAATGTGGGAAGAACATATGGACAGATAATGTCCTTAGAGGGATCTGAACCAGGCAACCACAGCTGCAACATGAGTTTTAACTAAGTGGCCACCAGGCAGTCCTAGGGGTTTGTGTGACCCACATGGAGATCTACTCCCCTGCAAGGGTAGCCATCCATTCTAAACACAGGAAGTATCGGTCTCTGAAAGAGTAAATAGCCACTTCATCAGTTGAAACTTTGGTCTAAAGTACTGTATGCCTCTGGCATTCACTAAAATGGCAGCTCCTAGATTCATTATTCCAAAGGAATGGGAAAGCTCTGTTTTTTAATCATGTAGGCTTGGCTGTTAAAACAGTTATCTTAATCATAGACTGCATAAACATAGTATGAGGAAGTTAATTACTGTCTTAGTTTTCTTTAGTTTTGCCATAAGTAGTGAGGGTGATGTTAACCCCCAATGCAGATGCATGTTATGATGACACCAGTGAAATGGTTAGGCTGCTAAGTTTAGTGTAAACCACAATGTTCTGAGATGAGTGAAATTTAAGCCTTTCATCTATGCTATGCAACCTAGCCTACCTAGCTCCCATGGTATAAGCCAAACAATATGGATACACACAGGTCTCGAGTAGCTGCCCAACTGCATGAAATGTTCAACTTTAACAGAAGGTTAAATTGAATTAATTTAACTAGGGTTTGCATTACTTATGTACTCCATTTTTGCCTTTTTTTAGGTAACATGTGGGCCCAGTCATGGTCCAATATATTTGATCTTGTTGTTCCATATCCTAATGCAGCACAAGTGGATGCCACACCAGCAATGGTGGCTCAGGTGAGTGACTGGGAGACCTATGATAGGACCATGCAAAGCACTTAATTCTGTTAAGAACGGCAGAAAAGAGCTGATTGCTACACAAAGTTCTCCTTATAGTCAGCAGCTTATAAGACTGCCAAATCTCCAGGGCTGATTGAAATGCCTACCAAAACAGGGATGCATGTGGAAAATGCTGCTTTTCCACCTATGAAGGACTTAAACGTGGCAAAGTACACCTATAATCTTTAAAATGCCTCTTTAACCTCTTGCCGTCCGCCCGTAGTAAAAAAACAGACGGACGGCACTGCTGCATTTGCGGGTTGCCGTCCCCAGACGACAATTATTTTCTGCTCGCGCGCGCCCCCTAGCGGGCACGCACGGGCAGAAAAGACCCAGAAAGTGATTAACTTAATACAAATCTGATCAATGAGAGAACTTTTTTTTATTTTTTTAGTGTAATGTTTGTAAATATGGAAATGCATGGGGCCATATTTTGCTCATTATGTAGGCAAGCTGTGGTTCCTGCCTGTGCAAGTGATAATGTTGCTGTTTCCCTTTCTCCATGCAAGTCTGTAGATCAGTAAAAATGAAAAACCTTCTGTAAGGAGATTTCAATTGCCTGAATACAGATACAGTAAACTCCCCATTACCCTGCATTCAAGCGACCAGCACTCTCAAGCAACTGGCAAAAAAAATTGAAAATCTATATGTCATCTGGGGTTTTTTTTTTTTTTTTTTTTACTCTGGTGGCTTGTTGCACACTAAAAAATATAGTTGGCAACTTAATTTATTTGGTTGCTATCGAAATTCTTTGTTTACAACTCGCTGTCGCCGCAGGCTACATTCCGCACCTGGTAGCTAGATTCCGCAGTTGGCAGCAGAATGTAAACAATGAGAAACATTAGCCAGCCTGCTATTGGATATTTCAAATTGCAATAGTAGGCCGGCTATTGCACCCGCTCACTGAGCAGAGGAGCGGACCTGAGAGAGAACTTGCCTAGGTGTGAACAGGGACTAACTCTCAAGCAACCAGATACTACAGTTACCTGACATCTACTGATCTCTGCGGTTGTTGGATAACTGGGAGTTTACTGAGCATTGTATATTGGAAAAGAGACTACAAATGCAGATGGTAGTCTACATGTGATATTGAAGCTGTAGCTTTCACCGATTTGTTTTTCTCCCAGAAATGGACCGCAAAAAAGATGTTTGAGGAATCAGACAGATTCTTTACCTCTCTAGGACTCCTTCCTATGCCTCCAGAATTCTGGGAAAAATCCATGATTGAGAAACCTGCTGACAGAGATGTGGTTTGCCATGCATCTGCTTGGGACTTCTACAACCGAAAAGATTTCAGGTATGGTTATGATAATCCACAATTGGGTTATAGAGACTCAGTTTGGTTAACCAATCTGATTTACTGTATGTAAAAAACAGACAGTATGTGTGTTAAGAGCGCTACCACTGTTTGAGTGCAATTAACCAGTTGACATCCGCGGTGTTAAACCCCCTTCCCATCCAGTACTTTGACTGACATTTATTCCGTCATGCAGCGCTGTACTGAAATGAATTTTATACCCTTTTTTGGGGACAGATAGAGCTTTCTTTTGGTGGTATTTATTCACCACTGGGGTTTTTATTTTTTTACTATATTAAGGAAAAATCACCGAAATTTTTTTTTAAAAACGTTTCCCCTATACTAAATGATAAAACATTTATTATTACCCAATTTATCGGTAAAATATAAAAGACGGGGTTACGTCGGGTAAAAAGACACCAAACATGTCAAGCCTTAAAATTGCGTGCGCGCGCAAAACCTCAAAAAACGATAATACCCAAAATTGGCCATAGGCGACGCTTTAAAAGCTGTTACCGCTCATCAGTTTAGTGTTATCAGTGATTGATGGCCCTAAAATGATTGCATCGGCTGAGACAGTAATAGGGGTCTAATACAGTAGTTGAGGGTGTCGGTATTGAGGACAGAAAAGCGCTACGCGTTTCGAGGCTATGCCTCTTTGTCAAGCTCGGGTGAAAGTAGAAGGAACAGATTAGCGGGAAAACCGCAATTTAATTTTGAACTGTACAGAGTTCGCCCTCACCCACAACTATTTCTCTTTCTTGGGCAAATTTTATCATTTACATCATCACAAGTAACCACGTTAAACCAACAGGAGGCAATTCCTACCTACACTTTAAGAGTTGTCACCACCCTAGGTGGAAGAAAAACATACCTAAGAGCCAATTTTGTAGACTCAGAAGGAATTGCACCCAGAGCACTGACTATGCCACTTCTAGCCAACTCCTCCTCAGCAAATTTAGAGAAAAGGAATATCCAGAGGAAATCATCTTGGAGGCCTTTTCCAGCTATTCTGTAACGGACCAACCTGCGGGACCCACAAGGCCTCACTCTGCCAGGGATGACAAGAACATACGCTTCATCACTACCTTTAACAACAGGTTTACAGCGATACAAAAAAGTAACCCGCAAACATTGGCATATCCTACAAAAAGACCCCAGATTGGGCCCTCATTTACCAACCAATCCGTCTATCAACTTCAGAAAGTCCAGGTGTATCAAAAATATGGTAGGCCTGAGTCGAGCTTTCGTAGGCCCAGAAGCCCGTCCCAAACATTTTTTATTCGACAATAGAACTGGAGTATTCCAGTGTAAAAAAACCTAGATGTCTGACATGCCAGTTCATCCAGCATGGTCAAACAAAGTTCTATGACAATCTTCACAATCTCTACATCATCAAACAATTTATAACGTGCTCACATGATCACGTAGTTTATGGATTTAATGCCCATGTGGTCTCATCTATGTGGGTCGGACAATTAGACCTCTACGGGCTTTAATAGGCGACCACAGACGCCTGATAGAAAAAGGAGACGTAGAACCTAGCGTCCCTCAACACTTTACTTTCAAGCACAATAAAAGTATCCAAGATCTCAAGTGTTCGCTATCGAACACATTCCTAACCATCTATCGTCATCTGAAAGGTTCCATCTCCTCTGCAAAAGAGAGACCTATTGGATCTACAAACTTAATACCCTGGTTCCAATAGGTCTCAACGAGGAGATAGAAATTCATACTATTCTATAAGCCAATAAAATTATTAATACCCCTTGGCTCATTTTTAATTATTTTTAATGCTTTTCTCATACATTAGTTTTTAGTTGCATCTGATATGGAAAATGACACCAATATCACCTCTTTTTACTTTTTATTTCTTACACAGTCTTTATGATTAAATTGATATCAATAATATGTGTCCCACTCGTTTTTAACTAACCTTTTGAATAACATTTGTTTAGTGTGCTTAATGTTTAACTTTTACATTTGTTTAAATTCGTTTGTTTTTCATTTTACCCTTCCGTTATTGGATTGCTAGCGAGATACGATCTGCTGGCTCAGAATAAGATGCTACTCGAGACTAATATGGGCGGTTTGCTACGCCTGTCCCGCCCCTCCACTCTCATACTCCTATCAGTACAAGGCCACGAGTGCTATCCCCGCCCAGCTGTCAGTTTTTTAAATCGCTGTTTTCCCACTAATCTGTTCCTTCTACTTTCACCCGAGCTTGACAAAGAGGCATAGCCTCGAAACGCGTAGCACTTTTCTGTCCTCAATACCGACACCCTCAACTACTGTATTAGACCCCCTATTACTGTCTCAGCCGAAGTCCGCTCCCCACGACTTTGTCGCTCCATCCCCTGAGACCTCTGACAGAGAGACGGCACCAGACTACTACGATCACACAGCACAGAATTTACAGTGTCTTTGGCCGCAACGGCTCAGCCTGGCCAGCTGAGTTTCCTTGCGGCAGACATCTGCACTTATGTCCTCAGCCGTCCATACCACTGGGCTTCACTTGTCCAGATCTGTCATAGTGTTTCCATCGGACCATCTCCAAGGCTCCCCAGGACATCCAATAGTGAGTCACTTTGTATCCGGTTCATCCTATGTGTGAAACAGTATTGTTACATTTTATGATTGTTTAATTGCACTTTAACTTTTAGTTTTATACTTGGGACAGTATATAACAATGGTCAATAATGAATTAGATTTAGTGTCGATTAAGTTTGCTGTGCAGAGAATTTTGAAGTAGTAGGACTCGTGCCCACTAAAAAGTCAAATCAAAATGTAAAAAGCCAGCAATGTCATGAAAATGCACATCTGAGGTTTACTTAATTTTACTTTGCTTGTACATTGGATTTAATAAATAAAACAAATTGAAAAAAATGCAGTGGGGTGGAGCTAACCATTCCCGTTCTGCTAAAAATGTGTTTGTCAGTGTTCCTATCACTTCATGTCCTTTTTATAGGTAGTCAAGGAAAATCTCTCCAACAGTGACACAAATGGCAATAAAAACCTGAAAAGGGCCCTAAACCTTCTCTGCCCAATCCAAAATCAAATACAAAGTTTTATCTAGAGTTGGGCTTTAAAGTGTTTTTACCAACATGTTAATGTTTGTCAATAAACATGTGTTTACGATAGAGGATGATTGCTATGCGGTTTGGTAACAGTCTGAGTTATGGGTGAAATCACAAAACCATGAATCTGTGAGCAAGTAAAGTTGTATTACAAAGACGCCAGTGTGCTTTGGGCAGCTTTAGATAATACTTATAATGGTGCACCAAAAAAACGCTTAAATCATTTGATGGTCTTCTCTTTCAGAATCAAGCAATGCACAGTAGTCACCATGGATGACCTTATCACTGTCCACCATGAAATGGGTCATGTTGAGTACTTCCTGCAGTACAAAGATAAACCAGTTTCCTTCAGAGAAGGAGCCAACCCTGGCTTTCATGAGGCTATCGGAGATGTATTAGCCCTGTCTGTTTCTACTCCTAAGCATCTCAACAGCATTGGGCTTCTGGACAAAGTTGAGGACAATAAAGGTATGACACATAGGAACATTTATTTCAGGTATTAATATAGCGTGGACAATTTATACAGCACTTTACATAGTTGCACATTCATATCAGTCCCTACCCTCAGTCTAAAATGATCCTGTTTGAAAAGTTATTGATATATATAAAGTGTGTGTGTGTGTATATATATTGTGAACTGAAATTTATATTTAGAAATTCAAATCTACAGTGTCTTTAAGGATTGCACCAAAAATAAAAAGTTTGATATAAACTCTACAGGTAAATGCAGAAAGGATATCAAATTTCCAGATAGGGTTACCATTTCAGGATTTAGTTGTTTGTAACAGAACATACAATGTGCACCTAACTTTAAATATCTCTTACTAGAGAGTGACATCAACTATCTTATGAGTATTGCACTGGATAAAATAGCCTTCCTACCCTTTGGATACCTGATGGACCAATGGCGTTGGAAAGTGTTTGATGGAAGAACTCCAGATTCAGAATATAACCAGCAGTGGTGGAATCTAAGGTATGATCTTATACATTTAACTGTTATAGCATTTTCAAATGGTGATGCTTTACAGATTAACATAAGGTTGGTGCTCCAGCAAAAACTTTTTTTTATTATTCTGGATAGAGTGAGGCTACAACCTTTTGTTGGATTTTTTTTTTATGCAGGCTCTGATCCGTCTCAATGGGACAGATAGTAAAGGAGAAATGTGAAAGTTGTCATCAGAACAGGAATAAGATGTGTAATCTCATAAAGGGTACACCATTTCTATTGGCAATCTCCAAAGGTGGAATTTCACCTCACTTTGGGGATATTTCTTTCAAATCTAAAGGAGAGTAAGTGAAAAGGTTAGAAGAAGGGACATAACTGGCAAAAAAACATGATGGTGGTTCTAACTCTTTCCCATTCTGCCCCCTCCCTCCCCGGCAAGATTTCACTTTAACTCTTTAACACTTCAACTGAGGTGTGTTTTTCTATCGACCACTTCTATCAGAAGCTGGGGTAGGAGTAAATATTCAATCTTTGGTATGGAAAGATTAGTACTGCTGTCCATTTTGTTAAGGCAGTTTTCCTTCCTGTCCCACTGACAATGTTTTTACGAGACGGGAATTAAGAAAAAATGTGCTACAGGGAGACGGACAAAAATAAAAATCTACTGGGGGTTCTAGCCTTCTCCTACTCTTAAAAAAAAAAGCGTAGGAGAAGGCTAGAGAGTGCTGGAGAGTACCCCTATAGTTTTGGCTTGACCTACATTTTAAGGTGTGACTGTGAAGAGTAGCGTCTCTATGGCAAACACTTTCACAGACAAACACAAATTACCAAAATGTAGAGGGTAACTACTGTTATAAAGAAAAGTAGCAAAGCCCTCTTCCTACTTAAACAGACCTCGGATGCTGACTGAACCCAAGTTGCAATTCCAGACAGGTATTGCATTAGGCTCAAACAGTGGAGTGGAATTTCTAACAGGTTTCCATTCACCACCATGAGCCCAACATTGTCTCTACAATAAAAGAAAAAAAAAAGTTACATCGAGGGATCGAAAATTGGCATGTACGGCATAGGCCAGGAAAGTGTATACACTGGATCTAAGGTCTGTATTTCTCTTTACATTTTCAACGCAGAAAGAGAACTTTGGTTCATTTTTCTGTAACAGTACAGTTACTTTTTAAAGTTAAATCCCTAGAAAGTGGTTATATACACAGCAGAAATACATATATGTAAAATGTCTTCTGTACCAAAGAGTTTGTAATCCTGTTCAGCTTAGCAAGGTCGGTTTCCTTCACTGTTAAGCAGTACAGTTTGGTTACTTACCTGTTCCAGCATGCAATGGAGGGCATGATAGGTATTTAAAATAATGGGAAATTCTTGTATTTATACTATTTTGTATTTAAAAATATTTAACTGGCGGTACTTTAGATCATTCTGGATTTCAGGTTTACATGTTTGAGGTTTCTTTCTTTTTTTTTTCTTTTGATTTAAAAATGTCTTACATAATATAACCATTTTATTATCCTAGACTGAAATATCAGGGGTTGTGTCCTCCAGTCTTGAGGTCTGAAGATGATTTTGACCCTGGGGCAAAATTCCACATTCCTGCCAATGTCCCATACATCAGGTAACAGATTTCCTAGGTGGAGTGGTTTTGCATTATAGTGTGTCTTTAATCCAGGGATTAGCTTTCCAATTTTTTTTTTGGGGGGGGGGGGGGTAGCTTTATGCTGCAACATGGTTAATTCTGCAGAGGACCTAGCTTTCTGAAATAAATGGCCAGAGTAAAAGTGAGGTTTTACCCAATGACTTTTCTTTAAGAAAATGATATACAAAAAAACTATAGGTTAATAGGAGCATACATGTCAATCTTCCCAGAAGTAGATTATGTATCACACTGTCCCCAAGAAAGAAAACAATACATGGATATGCAGCAGTTTACCAATCTGGCACCACCGGAAATAATGGTCCAGTTTAGGAGCCATTTAAAACAATTGTGTGCAACATCCAGGTATAGACTAGTAGGATTTTTCAGCTCAATGAAGCTCCCAGTGGTAGATATGGAGATTTTACTAAAGGCAAAAAAGCTGCAGACTGCTCTGCAGTAGCACCATGACTGTACTAAGGGAATATGGGATTTGCCATTACAAAAAAACAAAACATATTTTTGTAGATAATCTGGGCCATAGAGTTTTTAGCGTTTCACAATTTTCAGCAATACTAGCCTACAAAAAAAACAACCAAACACCACAGTTTCCATACATTGCTGCTCTTCATAGAGTAACATAGCTTTTTTTTTCTGGTTTCAAGGTATTTCATCAGCTTCGTCATTCAGTTCCAGTTCCACGAGGCTTTGTGTAATGCAGCCAAACAGACTGGGCCCCTCCACACCTGTGATATTTATCAATCCTTGGAGGCTGGAAAGTTGCTTGGGTAAGATAAGTAGTTAGTGCAACATTATGTGTTCCATGAATGTTTCTGCACTTTAGCTGTATTCATGTGTTTGTATTAATGGTACTTTGCATGTGTGATGTCCAAAGGTCTCACCTTATTTCATTCATAGCCATTGGAGTAAGAACCAATTACTATGCTTTGCATCAGAGGAACTGAGGGTTAAGGGCCTTTGTGAACTCCCAATTCTTCCAATCTGAATTGTCAGAGTTGTAAATGCCACTTCATTTTAAAAATAATTGCACTCCATGGATCTTACATTACATGTCCAAGCTTTATTGTCATCCACCTACTGGTATACACCACATGGCACTCACCATTGTAAGAGAAACCCACTCACGCGTTTTATATATAATATATATAATCAGTGGTGGAACTACCAGGGTCACCGAGGTCGCAGCTGTGACCGGGCACAGGAGTTCCGCCACTTAGAGGGGCCCCAAGACAGGAGGACGGGGCCCGTAGTAAACGCTGATTACCAGGATATTTAATATCCCGGAAACCGCTAATATCAGTACCAGGACCTCTTCCTCCTGTCCTGGGCTCTGCATGCTTCACGCTGCTCCCCTCACCTTCTTCCGGGCGCAACGTGAAGAATGATCGAGCCAACGCAGCAGCCAATGAGTGGGAAGCGGGTTATCCCCGCCCCCTCATCACACAGAACTGCTGCCGACCGTAGATCTGCCTGTGTTCTATGGAAAGCTCCAACTCCCTGGGTGTCAGAGGCGTGCTGCTGACACGAAGAGGGAGTTATAGGGAGCTGAGATTATGAAGGGGACATGTGAGAGGAGAGTGTGGGGTCAGGGAGCTGGAAGCTGGGGATGAGAAGGGGGAAAGCAAGAGGAGGGGGTTTGTTTTGATTTTTTTTTTTTTTAAGTATCTCCTTTTTCTGGGGGGGCTTCATGGATTCTTGCACCGGGGCCCGGAGGTCACTAGTTACGCCTCTGCATATAATATTAGCCAAGAATATTATCAACAAACAGAACATATAATTGTTGAAAGCAGAGGAGGTTTAGAATGTCTTTTCTCTGCAAAACTGCTACTATGCAATTATCATAAATGGGAAAGTGAACTTGAACTGTAATATTGCACTGACCATAAAAGCAAGTCAGCATTCATTAGAAGGAATCTGGACAGATTTTTAGTAGTAGCCATTGCTAACTTATTTTAGGGAGAACAATCTGGAAATATCTTCGTTGCTAAACCCCAGAAGTAAACTTCTCATATATTTCCATTTTGGTCTTTACAACTATACCATTGAAAGCATTTTGTTTAAATCTGTTTGAAAAGTTCTGGATCAGGGACTCACTATTCTAGTCCTAGAGCCTGCACCTTTAAAAACAAGTCGACAACATCTGCTCCCCTATTTCTGTGATGACAGAGGCTCTTCTTGTTACCTGTTTTATGTTACCTATTGGCTGCAAATCATTGATTGACTGACTGACTGACTGACTGAGGCTTATCAATGTTTTCTACATCTGCAGAGATGCCATGAAGTTGGGTTACAGCAAGCCTTGGCCGGACGTGATGGAAGTTATTACTGGACAGAGAAATATGTCCGCTAATGCCCTCCTTAAATACTTTGAGCCTTTGACCAACTGGCTAATTGAGCAAAATCAAAACAATAAAGAAACCCTTGGCTGGCCAGAATACAACTGGAGTCCAGGTAGGTACTAGTCATACCCAATTTCGTGGTTCATGCTGAATGCTTGGAACTCCATTTAACAGGGTTTCCAGGAAAAATATTAGAATTCTATTTGAATGTTGCTATCTGGAGCTATCACTACCTACCGCAGTTCCACGTCAGCAACATTTGGACCTTTGCCTCATTGTTTATACTGTTTGGCTGACTGAGGTTTAATAACCTAGATAAGGTGATTATCAGAAAAGAGCCATTACATTTTATTAGCACTCTGATACCAAATCTCATCACCAAACAAACAAGTGGAGTTTTATAAACATGTTCTACTGGCAGGTAAAATCTATTATTCCAACTCTTGGTCTTGATAAATTTTGGAAGCTGCGAAGTGGCGGGTGTCCTTTTGGTGTTGCTACACAAAAATGTATTACGGCATTTCCACTTTTGATGGAAATCCTGTATTTAGAGAAATATGTAGGCTGTAAATGTTGACCCCCCCCCTCATTCTGAAAATGCTAGTTATGTGGTTGTTATGGTGATCCGGTGACTTCAATACACTAGCAGTCACTGAGCTAGAATGCATCTGCATATCAGAAGTCCTGTATGAAATGATGTGGACTAAGGTGGGATATTTTAAAGGTATACTGCATGTATATGTATAATTTTTTTCAACACCAGAGTTATCTCTAGCAGTTTAATTATTCATAGTGGTTGTAAGCCAGAGAGAGCAAGTTATCTAGCATTTTTAGATCGAGTTCAGGCATGGTAGCCTCCATGTTTGTCGCTATACAGGTTTTTTACAAGGCTATAAATATTGTGACAATGTTTAAACAAATTCAGCAGCATTTACTTATATAATTTCCTCCGTTTTAGTTCTTAATGAAGCCACATCAGCCACACCAGCCACACCAACCACACCATCAAAAGTCGACTTCTTAGGAATGAAATTGGACAACGGGCAAGCGGCAGCAGGAGCCTGGGTCCTCTTAGCTCTTGGAATAGTTCTGGTCCTCACAACCATTTTCTTAGGTGTCAAGTTCTCAAAAGTAAAACGTAAGACGAAGAAATCCACCTCTGAACTGGAACTGAAATAACCAAGCACCACCACCACCCAGCAAGGGGACCTTTGTAATAGTACGATTTCCAGTATTCCAAGACTTGGACACTTTTAGTGTGCAAGTAACATCACAAATCTTGTTGACTATGCAAAGAACTTCATCCTTGGAAGATCAATCAACTAGCTTTTTCAAAGCCAAATTTTAGGATGAACTTTTACACAGGTGCTTAAGGGAAGGGAGGTTTGGGGCAAATGGGGAAAGATTCAAATTGTTATTAGAATAATTGTGTCAGATCTTTTCTCCAGCAATGGGAGCAATAAATATTGTAAGAGGAAACTTTAAAACTTTGTCTCCAGTTTTGAAAGTTTTCCTGCTAAATCCTGATCGCTATTTTGTGATTTAAAGAAATATTTGAGGATGCAGCTAATAAAAGAATCAATCTAAAGGAATGTCCAAAATAGGAGGTAAATTATTTAACCTTATTTCAAGCTGGATGGTGAATGAGCGTTATAAGTGGCCGATGCTATTGTTTTTTTCCAATGGGATTACTGAATGGGAACTGCTTGCAGTCAAATAACAGATCTAAGAAACGAAAACACTCAGGAGCTTTGTGTGGCCACTTCTACTTGTTAGAATGCCAGAGTACAAACACAACATCATTATCATAAAATGATTCCATCAGCATAGAAATGTGCGTTGTACCACTACTGACTATTTTTGAGGAGGCAAACTCCACAGCTGTGTTAGTATCTAACCTCAGCCATGCGTTTATACATCGTCACTGACCCAGAAAAAGCCTGCAGCCAGTAAAATCACTATTCCCCACCTGCATACTTATTTTGTATTGTCTAAACAAAATAGAATAAGCTGTTCAAAACAGCTATCAATTTATTATGACATGATAAAAAGCTCTGACTTTTTGTACCAGTCAGAAGCTGGCATTGCTTAGTTCACATGCCCTCTAGATTGGGGGATGTAGAATCAATGAGTTGCACTGGTGTACAAAAATAAGTACAGAAGACCCCCACACATACACACGCATTGACAACATGCCCAAGCGTTCAGGCAATGTGTGTTTAATTCTGTTAATCTATTGGCACTTTAAAAAAAAAAAAAGCTCATTGCCCAGTTGCAGCATCTGAGCTGTTCTGTTGGAACTGTACTTATTACCTAGTAATTACGTTTGTTTTTTTTTTACCCAAAACAGAATGTAAATCAAAAAAAAAGTTTTTAGGCGTTGCATCTCTAGTTTCAACTTTTTGACATAATCCAGGTAGAGTTGTATGAGCTTTTATCTTTGTGTTGGTAGTAGCAAGTTGGGAACACACTGGTTTCTGGTATCTCTCTGGTGATGAGAGATGCCCACCAGAATTCCTGATGGCAGTACAAAGCTATATGATGTCAGGCTTCACTCGTTATTTTTCCATATTGTAGAACAAAATGCTAATGAGTTAAGCTGCGAAAAAGTGAAGCTTTCATTGTATGATGCTGTGTAGGAGGGACAGAGACGTAATCTTTTGCACACGAGTCTTTAGGTACCTATACATATGAACACTACTTCATCTGATGAAATTCTCACATCTGCTGTGGGAGAGCAGATAAAAAACAGCCGGAGAAAAAGGCAATGAGACCAGTCAAAACTGTCTGGCCAATGTCCACTAAAACTAAAATTTGGTAGCCATTCACATCCACACTGTTGCTAGTTACAGTTCTTGCAAATATCAAGCTGTGAATGGCCACAGACACATATATTTGCTAAGTTTCTCCTGTTAATCAGATCATTCCTTTGATAAACTTTTTGTATATGAGCCTAGCCTGAGGGAAACGGAAGCCCATCTGTCCTGACAGCTGTGATGGAGCAAACTTTGGAAATGATGGAGAGGCCTGTCTGTTGTTGGGCCATTCAAGACTGTTCTTGCTGTAATAAAAGAAATGTCACTGACATCTAATTGGGTCAGGGGTACTGTTCAGCGCCAAGCCTTATTATGAACACAGTAGGAGCAAGTAGCCAACGATCCCACCGATCTGTAATGATGAGCAGACAGCTGCTAGCTCTGACACCGAATCCCAAGCTACCGTATAAAACACATGCTCTTGCTAAATGAGCAAATCAATTATTCACACAGCATGCCAAAAATGTGTTGCTGTCCAAACTTTACTTTTCACACTAGCATTAGGAATCGGTTATTATCTGAACGATTCACAAAGCTACGGTGAGGAATGGCTAAGCATAATCCAAGACAAAAAGAAGGAGATTCCTAATCTGTCAAATTACGGACAGCTCACAAGGCCAACCAGTTTAAAAGGAATTGGTTGTCTGTCTGGCTTTAACTTTCTTGGTGGTTCACTATTATTTACCTGTGATAAGGGTGGGGCAATGCAATCTTGGTCAAAATGAGCATGTACAGTATATTTAGGTCACCATGCTTCCATATAATGATTTTGTTGTGGCTGGACTTGCAGAAGGGACCCAAAGGTATTTATTTATACTTTAAGTGGGTGAGATGGGTCCTGGGACCCCTTCCCCTGTCATATATCTAGATGCAAATTGTTAAAAAGGGAATGCGTTTTTTTGCTTGGCCAGCAGTAGCGTGGGTGGAGTCAAAAACCGGTCATGGACAGGGGCTCTTTGGAAACTCTGCACCACTGCTTCAATTCTGTCAGTGGTTGTTCTTACTAGCTAGCACGGTCATGTCAATGGGTAGTCCTACCAAAGGACCCTTTTACCAGTTCAAATTATGTGAAAACATATTTATTTTACCATTTAGATTTAATATCTTACAGATAGCTTACCTGAATACTTATGATCCCCATTCTATTTACCTTGTATTAATCTACAGTTAACTGTTTAGGGGTAGCACCCTTTTTTGTTTTCACTATAAAGAGGTTGATGGTTTAATTTAACTATCTATCTACTGGGGGCTTATGTTGAATTGGTGACCATACAAAGTTCACATTATAGGGGGATGTTATGTGGCAAAGCCGCTAAACCAATCCAAGTGAAAAGGCTGTTATTTTTTTTAGGGGAGGTGTTTTGTTTTTGTGTTTTTTTTCCCCTTTGTTTAGTTGAACATTTTTTTGAAAATTTACGGTAATTGTGATGGCCTTGACTTGGCTAACTACTTATAACGTATTATTATTATCAACCCCCAAAACCATAGTCCAACTTTGATTTCAGAATAGACAAATGGAGCATAAATTGATTTATTTCATAATCGCTTTATAAATAAGACTGCTCACAATGAGATGATTTTAATAGGTTTAAAATAGTGTATCTAAAGTACAGAGGATCTTCAGCAGGTGGCACTGTCACCCTTTCCTTGCAAGTGATAGCCAGCAATTATACTGAACAGAACAGGAAAGACTAAATGATGTAAGACCAGTCATGTTCTTGCTTTCAGATTTCTAAATTAGAAAATAAAAGGCACATTGTAGATGCTTGGAGCAGCAATATTTTCAGTTCAGACACCTTCTTACATGGGATCCAATATGTTCCTACAAGATAGGGATACACTTACACAGATGGAATTCTATATTCTTTAGTTGAAAGAAGCAATGTAAAGTTTATGCAAAAGACAATAATAGCCTCTCTTTAACCCTGTGCAGCTTCAGTGTAGTGCATGTATAGAGAAGGCTAAAAGTGCAATAGGGCATTCATGAGCTGGTGTATAGGGTTTCTACTATCCTGATCAGACTGTCCATGTGAAAGGGACCTAATAAGTCTGCACACATACCCAAGTTCTGCTTCTGCCTTCACTTGCCAGTGGTCAGATCAGACAAAGTAAAAGAAAAAATCTAAACTAAAATGTATAAATCCCATGGTTTGATGCTGCCCTCTGTTTTGGCCTTAGTGTCTTAGAGTGTGTGTGTGTGTGTGTGTGTATATATATATATATATGTATGGATGGCAACTTCAAATTACAAAAATGCTTTATTGGATCCACACCACAGCCACCATGCAGATCACTGATGGACCCTGTGTTGGACCCATAAGGTTCCCAGATCTTTATGGTGACTGATATGCAGACATAAAACATATTTTAATGTAAGAAGATGGTGTGCTTGGGAGAGATACTCTATATTGTATGTATGGACCCATTTATTTTAAGTGAGACCATCAGTAAACTAAAATGTACAGAATTCCCTTTTCCTTTAATCTGTAGCTCTGAATAATATAAGTAAATCACATAAAACTGCTCAAGCATAAATTGGGTGCAGAGATTGCTTGGAGGAATAACAAGACTCTCTATAGTTCAGGTAATGTTTTGTTATTTCAACATAAACCTTCTCCACAGGCTCTGAGTATTCTACCCAGCTGGAGCTTTGCAAATGAACAATACAACATCCTGCTTCCAACACTCTGGATTTACAATAATTGTGTAATAATGTAACATGGTTCTTACAGAGTGCCTCTCCAATTGAGCCTTTTTGTACCAATCTTAAACAGCTCTACAAAATTATCAGCAAATAGTAGATGTCGCTGAATAAGGGTTCTCTTTGGACATCTATAAAATACAACACTCCAAATATAAGAGACTTTCTCATAATTTTTAACTAGAAGATCTACAAGCTTTGTGAGCACAGAGCTTTATTCACGTGGGAGCAATCCTGCAATATTGTTTTTACCGATGCCATTCCTTTATATGGCATAAACTCCTTTTTTCCACTACAAACTAGATTACTGTCTATTGAGGATGAATTGGATATGTGTTAAAGCTAGCAATAGCTGGCATGACCACAACCTAAAATTACTCCGTCAATACACAGCTCTGTGAGGACTGTACACAGCTAAGGCTTTAGCAGTGGAACCAACTATATGCCAGGAGATGTCTAGCTCCTGCAAATATGATTTATCAAATAACTTTTTTTTTTAAACCCTTATCCTTAACTGTGAATCATGATGCAGGGAGTATTGTAGATCAAATTTTCACTGTCAAGGCCTAGGTGGAATACAATCACTGTGAATGAATATTATATTGCCAGTTGTATGAGGAACTTCTACAGCAAAATATCAGCTGAACTGCCACCAGATCACTTCCAGGGGCTGCTGAAAAGTGAGCCCCCTCCGCTCGACAGCCCTGCCTTGCTTCCCGGGCTCCGCTGCTCCTCCTGCGGGCCCGGGACAGACATCACGGGTGTCAATGGGTAGAGGAGAGAGAGACTGGTGAACATTCATTCGCCAATCTCCTCCCCGCTAAATGGAGCCAGAAGCAACGCTGATTGCATCACTTTCTGTTCCTCAGCTGTCATTCTCAGACTAGTGAAGCCAGGGAGAAAGCTATTCAAACATGATCTGCACTTAAGTAGCTTCTTTGAAGTGTAAGGGTAATACTAGGGTTCTA